CTGGATCATTTAACATTCTGCCTAAAGCATCCCTAATTATAACAACTCGAGGTTTGAATTTGTTCTTCAGTTCCTTGAGCTTAAGAAATGCTGAGCAAGTTCGACCCTTTCGGTTTTCTGACTCCAATTCCTTGCACATTTCATAGGGAAACTTATTTTTGTACTCTAGGGTCACTTAGTAAGGGTCAGAAATGACTCAAGGACACATAATAATAACATTCTTCCAGGTTCATTTCATAAGAATATGGACTAATAATGATTAGCTTATAAATATGTTAATATTATTTTTCTTTTTTTAAAAAAGCTAATTTTGTTAATTCTTAGGGAGAAGCCCTTCTGAAATTTCCTCAGGTATTCATTAGAACCACCTTTACTGTTTGACTTGTGACACATTTTAATCACAAGAGTAAAGTATTCTCTCCTTGGTTCAAAAGGCATAGGTTTAAATTTAATGTACCAAAACAACTGTTGCAACAACAACAACAAAAAAATAAATGGTACAATGTATGCAATGCATGAATAATGGATTCTTTTATGTTATTAATCTTCAAGGTTTAGTCAGTCTAATTGTTTTTGACTGGAAAGAAACTAAATCATTACTGCTACCTTTAAGAACTAATATTGTCTGGAAACTACTGTTCTTGATAGCTCTCTCAATTGCATGTTAACTTTTTTATGTAAGTATGTTATTAAACATAGTGTGACTATTTTGGTATATGTAGTAAACTTTCACCTAATGTATTACATCTTAGACATTAAAAGTGAATGTCTTTGTTTATATTTATAACATTTGTTTTATTTAATAATAAAACAGATTTTTTTTGATAGTCAAAAGATGAAATGTAGTAGTCATTCTTCATGCATTTCATTTATCTATTAAGCTAACAAAATAGATATCTTAATTTGCACATACTTAAAAAATTTGTAAATTATGCACATAGAGAAACAATGGTTTGTTAAAAAATATGGAAGGTTTTTTTTTCATTTACAATTTTTAAAATAATTATATATTAGGAAGCTCTGGTGACCTAGTGTATAAAGATCTGTGTTGCCAGACCAAAAGTTAGCAGTTCAAATCCATCAGCTATTGCACAGAATAAATATGGGCAGTCTCACCTTGTGTGACTTAACAGCTTCGGAAAACCCACTACGGTGAA